GCTTTAATTGAACGGGAAATTTCCCATTGCAGCACTTACTAAGTACTCAGTCTGTGCCAAGCTCTGTCCTGAGATGTTTTCAATGTATTAGTCCACTTGCTTCGATGAAATAGCTTTTATTATATCTCCATTTTACAGATGAAGAAACTGAGGCCCAAGGTCACACGGCCACGTCGTGGCAACACTGTGAATTGCTGGGAAAATACAACTAAAACCCAAAATCCCCTCCCAACTCAGAAAATCTCTCCAGCAAGGTAGAAGAGCAGGGAAGCAGTTTTATTCTCGCATAAGCACTACATCAGAATGAGATGCACATCACAGGAGTTTTGTTAAGAGATCGCAGAGACAAAAAGAAATCTATCTTTTTCATGCAGGCCAATGTATTGAATCCATTACACACGTGTTCTCAAGTTAAGCAATGACTCGTCCTCAAACGACAGGACTCCCCAGGCCTGCTCGTTAATCCGCAGTTCATGCTGAAGTCACCTGATGTTTGGGGTGTCCATCTGTGTCTGCTCAGTGGCTTTACCAAAGGGAAAGCAAACTGGCCATGTCTTTATGACAGCATCATTTTGCAACTTGGTTTGAGGCGTCTGCTATCGACTAAGGCTCTCCTTCCCTGATGTTTATATTCCAAACAGAAGGTTGCAGGTCCTTGAGAAAGACATCCCCGGGTGTTAATGCTGGCAAGAGCTTATTTATCTTTTAATAAGATTTAGGTACATTTCAGAGAGACAGAGAAGGAAGTTAACAAGTTTCCTGAGTAAATGCTCTAAGAAAATAGAGGGGAGGGAGTTCTCTTCTCTTATTGTCAACAGAACTGAGCCTCTTATGTTTAGTTTGTATTTGCTTTTACAGGGGGAAACACAGGTCACTGGAGGTGAGTGTCCGAAGCCTACTGCCCAGCGTTGCCTTGTAGCAGCCTCTGCGCATATGTGAAGAGGCCTTTGTTCAACCTACAAGCGTTGCTTGGTGGCACTGAGATTTGAGGCAGAGATTCAGGGCCACTGTTCTAGGAATCTCCATGAAGCAGCTGAGAGGGTGCAGGGCCAAGGACCTTCACTGAGCCACCCGGTGCGTGTGGGGCGTGGGGATGTGTGTGAGTGCGTGTGGGTGCATAAAAACAGGAAACTCCAGCTTGAGGTTTGAGCCACTGTGAGAAGATGATGTGAGAAGATGTTGAGTTTCCTGGAAAAGCCACTCCCTTCTGAGTGTCAAACGCAGAGGGTGTCAGCCACTAACTGCCACCTTAAAGGCCAGAATCTGCCCTCCTGCCTGGCTGGCCCCGTCCCACGGCCCCCTGGCCCGCTGCCCTGCTGGAGAGGGCCTGTGGGGCCAGGGAATGGTCCTGTTTCTCATCCTCTGCGGCTGGGTGCTCATGGCTGCCGTGAGAACAGGTCAGACGTCAGGCAGAGATGGCCACTGGGTGGGTGAAAGCAGGGAAGCGGGACCGGGTCGCTGGGGCACCTGAAGACACAGAAAGCTTTGCTCTCTGATCCCAGCCTTGCCAAGATCCTCCCCGCACTGCTCCTTGCCCTGAAAGTACCCCTTCCTTTTCCCACAATCTCCTCTCAGCAGGACTCATGGGATCCCCTTTTCAGGATTTGGCTGCAACTAGTTACTTCTGGAGGTGGTCACTACCCCCAGGACCTTAGCCTGGCCTGCCTGTGTGTTTCAGACGCCACGGCAAGCTTCGTGGAGCAGAGGCCCCGGTGGGTCCTGGTACCTCGCGGACAGGCTGAAACCCTGCGCTGCATCCTGAGGAATTCCCAGTACCCCTGGATGAGCTGGTACCAACAGGATCTCCAGGGGCAACTACAGATGCTGGCCCGTCTGCGGAGTCCTGGGGATAAGGAGGTCATATCCCTTCCTGGAGCAGATTACCAGGCCACGCGGGTCGATAACACCGAGCTGAGACTACATGTGGCCAATGTCACCCGAGGCAGAACCCTGTTCTGCACCTGCAGTAAAGACACAGTGAGACAACCTCTTTGGATGAATGAATAAAAACCGCCCCTGGTTCCCAACCACACACCCAGCCTCCTCCTCTGCCCTCAGCCCCTCCCGAGGGAGCCTGCCTCCTCTGCACCCAGACCCTCCTTCTCGCCCTTTACTGAATGCAGACTCTCGCTGCCACGCTGCCCTTCAGAGAACATTCTGCCGAGTTAGCACAGCGATTGAACCGCAGGCTCTGCAGGGCTCAGGGGCAGGTCTTGCCCTGCCACTCGTGACCTTGGGGAAGACTTAATCTCCCCGAAACGGAGTTTGTGTGTCTGCAAAGTACAGACAGTAACTCTAGCCGACTCAGAAAGCAGTGGCTAGGATTACACAACACAATTCAGGTGAGACCTTGAGCATACTACAGAGGCGCGCAGGAAGCACTTAATCAGTGTTAGCTGTTTTCTCCACAGTGTGCACATATAAAAAGTATATTGCTTTTTTAGTGCCAGTAGCAATGCCCAGAGAGGTGCTGGGGAAAAAAAAACCTGGAGAAATTCTAGGAACTTAGAAAAGGGATAGAGTGAATATCTCACTGTGTGGCTCCCACTCACACCCCCTGGAGTAAATAAGCACACTTTTCCAGTTAGGTCCTCATTCCCACCACGCACCTCCGGCTGAGCTTCTCACACCCCAGGCTCAAGCTGATCTTTTTTCAAAGTAAGATCCTCAGAGAGGGCCTGACCTGCAAGGACCAGGGTCTGGGATCATGGTGGAGGGCTTAGCAAATATTGACCTCAAAGTCGTGGCTCAGAACAGGGTCTAACCTGAGCAAGGCCATACACGGAGTGAGGGCTGAACAAGGAGGCTCAGACGCAGGTGAATGGAGCAGCCGGAGGTGCAGGTGCGTCACGGGGGAGGCCGGATCCTGAGACCCCTGCAGAGATGGGAGATGGGACCGTAGCTGATCCACTCTGCTTCCAGTCGGAGCTTCTCCGTCCCAGAGGCTGTGGACCAAGTGATAAGGTAACTGGGGTGCTAGGTGGGAGTGAGCGAATGAGGAGGCATTTCAAAGGTGGCTCAGTCTCTGATGGGGGGGTCGTGGTAGTTTGTGGTGCAGAGCGGCTGCCAGCACCTGCTCAGCGCTTGTGGAGTGAGAAGCTTTGTCCACCAGGGGGCGCCATCTGCCCACAGTTCTCCGTGACGTGCACAGACAGGGCAGGACGGCAACCACAGCTGTTGGTCTTCTCTCAGCCCCTCTCAGGTGTGTTGGCGAACACCTGCGCGGCTCCAGAGGGCAAGAATAGGGAGGGGAGGAGGTCGAGAGTCTGGCCCCGAGCCCTCGGGGCGTGTGGGTGCCTGTGCTTTCTCATTTCTCTCGGAAGGGTACTGCTGTTTGAGAGCATCATGGCTGGGTGGTCCTTGGTCAGAGGCCACCAAGAGGCTGTTACGTACAGAGGAGATGGTAGGGCAGCGAGGCCCTGGGCCACAGGCTTTTAAAGGACAGCTGAAGTCCTCTGCTGGCAGCTCTTGAAACAACTCCAGCCAGGCACCTGGTTGGAATGATGGAAAGGACAATTGCTCTGATGGGCTCCCTTCAGCCTCAGTCCCTGAGTGCTCCCTGGAGACTTCCCGGGTGCGCTTCTGTTCACCTGGACCATGAACTGCCTTATTGCCTTTGCCTGGATCCTTGATTCCATGGTGATTAAGCTCACCCTGCCCCCCAGGCTGGCAGATTGTAGGGGTTCAAACAGTGCTTTTTGCCTGAATGGCTTATGTCATTCCCTGGTTATTCAGATAGGAAAGACCGATCGATGTCATGTGAGTCTTTTGTCAGGCTGATAAGAGAGATTTATCCATGTCTTTACAAGGTATGTTTAACTTCATTTTCTCTGTCAGTACTTTCGAATGCTCTGTTAGGCGAGTACATACCACTGTTTTTTGGGTTTTTTTGCTCAAGAGTTTGGATGACTTGCCTGATGTCACATAGCTAATAGTAGTAGAGCCAGGTCTCAAAACAGGCATACTGATTCTGCATCTAGGGCTCTCAACACTCACTATGCTGTCTCTTTGCGTGATGAATATATTACTACTGGGATGAAAGAGTTGTCACCCGGCAGGCATCCTTGCCTCCTTCCGGAAAGTCAGTGGGTATAATATTGGTGGTGTCACCAGGAGAGGCTGTTTGGCAGATGTGGTCACAGGGCGCAGGGAAGTCCACACACCACAGTAGAATGATCACTTCTTGAGTGCCTACTATGTACTAAATATTATGCTACATGCCTTACATAAGTTATCTTACTTACTCCTAACAATTCATGAAAGTATTATTGGTCCCATTTTAGAGACTGATAAACTAAGGCAAGAGGGTTAATTTACTTAATTACTTGCCAAAGGACACACAGCCAGTAGCAGTTGAGGCTGGGATTAAGTACCAAGTTGGATCCCAAATTAACACTCTTTCAACTACACTAACCCTACGTCACTCTTTTGGGGATCGAGAAATTAGATGAACTCACAGTGGAGGGGCAGTCAAAGAGTAGGGGCGGGGGCTGGCAATACCAGGAGGGAGTCAGCTAAGTTGACACCAGACATATTGAAGGGAGGGTGGAGGGGCAGTCAGGCACCCTTCATTCGACCCAGTGGCCAGTTGAGACATAGCAGCCCAGGGAAACTAAGTACCCGGCAGGCAGTTAGCAGCAGGAAGTTCTGACGGCAGGATGCTGCCCCTTGCGGGTTTCCAGCAACATCTGGGAAGAGTAAGGCAGAGACCTAGGCATACAGGAGCCAGAGAATCAGACAAGGCAGTACGACAAAGACAGCATTAATGGAACTGTGATAAAAAATGGGCACTTCATTGCAGGAACAGAACAGAAGCCCAGTCAAAAGAACTGGGCTATTAAGGTAGAAAAATGTAATAGCAAGTTTGGTTTGGTGACGAGTCACTTGAGTAAGGAGGATGTTTAAATGCCTCTTAACTAAGGATAGACGTAGCCCCACCTCTGGGCTTCTATTGTAGATGGGGCTCTAGAGATTACAGATGTGCCAACTAAGTTGATCGAGGTAGCAGTTTGGGGCTACAGAGAACTAGGGACAAGCACATCCTACATGGGGTTTACCAACACTTACACATTTCTTAAAAAGAAAACAAAGCAGAACAAGATTACGGACTAGGAGAGATACAGGAAAGACATTTATTTGTCTCTATGGCGCATTGGTTCAATCTTGGGCAGAGTAACTGCCAGAAGCCCCAGAGTAAGATAATCAAAGTGCCCAGTCCTGCGTGAGCTCTCGAAGGGCCTGGGAGCCCTGGCCTTGGGGTTCCTC